TGACTGTGGATCATCCAAGTGAGCTGTTGACCGATGGGGGGCACAAGTGTATGGATATGTCTACTCGCAGAGATATGTTGGAGTGCTGGTCTAGTTCTAAACTAGTTCTAAACAGTGTACACCCCCCTAAACCCTAAACCCTAATTCCCACCAGGGAGACTTCGGCGCAAGCTGCAGCAACAGCAACCATCACTTGGGGCTTCCAGCTTCTGATCATGCTTGCTCCACGCCAATAGGTCTTAGCACAAGCATGAAGTACATGAGCTTTCCACACATGAACGAAGCCAGCAAATATTGGTTGCCAGACTGTTTCAGTACCGCTTAGTGCATACCTGAATCACTTTTCGCGCCCTGCGGAGCTGGGTCCAGGCGCGGTTCTGCCTCGGCTGGAAAGCAACGCTAGAACCGGGGATTCTGATGGTTGGCCGAGAAGTTTGGGACCCAAACTTTGCATATTCCATTGCCAAAAATGTCCGCCTGGACATAAGGCCTAGGTACCCCAGTAATACACTTTTCCCCTTTTTAAAGCTGAATAAGGAAAAGGTACCCTCATTGGGGAAGCTAGCAGGTTGTGGAGCGAACGGTCCAAAATCCTGTTCATGAGGGTCCTTCAGCTCCTGCAGATTGTCTAGTGTAGACCCATGACTAACAAACCCCGTCCCCTTAATAGGGACTATGTAAGCTATAGTCTACACTCCCTAAAGAAGGTTATGTAGGAGATCATACAGGGGACTATTATAGGGGTTAGAAGCAGGGATGCTACGAGTTTAGACTATAGCTCATATAGTAGGGATCCTAGCATATAGGTCCTTAAAAGGATGGGGGGTTATAAAACAGAGGTCTACATTATCCAAAGTGCATACTAGACTCAGGTGACTCGATTCTAGCGCATGGGGGTTTACGTCTTCCTACAGTATGAGCTATAGCCTAAACTCTCAGAATCTCCCTTAGCAACCCCTATAGTAGTCGCCTATATACTGTAATGCCTTATACATCACCTTGTAAGGTGCGCTATAGAATCCCTATACAACCTCATTTAAGGAGTTCAGACTATGACTCCGAGGAAGTCCCCTATATAATGCCTTATATATCACCGTTTAGGGTGCGCTATAGAATCCTTATACAACCTCATTTAAGGAGTGTTTAGACTATGACTCCGAGGAAGTCCTTGAGGTCTCAACGGGTGATACACCTTTTAGCCAGTTTTGTGCTGGAATCCCTGGATCCCCCAACTGCACCTGAAGAAAAGTCTAGATTCCTAGTATCCACCCTTCATGACCCCTATAGTAGTCCCCTATATAGTAAAATACTCCCCTATATAAGCCCCTTTCAGGAGTTTGGACTAAAGCTTACCTGAGGGTAAAGATTGTAACCCGGCAGGCTCTTCCACAGAATCATGGACTCCGGCGATGCAGTGAAGCTGCTGTTGCCAGCGACGGCATTTGCTGTTGGAGTCTCTTGGCAAGCATAACTCTAGGGATCCAAATAGCCCAGTGTAGGTAACAATTGCAGACGTTGGTGCCCACTGTAGGTACTATTTGCATTCTTGGATCCCTAGGGCAAGTGGAGCGATCGACACCAGTCTTGCCTTTGCCTCATACAGTGCCCTCGTCGTAGTCGTCGGAACTGTCATAGTTTTAGTGATCGTGTGATTCATGCCAATGAATATGCTGCTCTATAGAAACGAAGACTGAACCCAGAAGCCAGTTTTCCCTAAACCGTAAACCCTAAACCCTATAGATCACTGTATCTCAGAGCCTGACTATATTACGGTCCTGAATATCAGCTCGTATGATGACGGTTATGTTATTTTGCCATAGACACAAACAAGTGGACATCACTCTGTCCTTGGCTTTGCAGACCTTGCTGATGGGTTCCCTTGCTGTTGTTTATGTCCTTATCTTATCAGGAACCCCGAACCCTAAGCCCTAAACCCATCCGTTGTCTTACCAGCCTGTATCTTGTTGCGAATTTGTTCCAGTGCGACGGCAGTTGCGGGCGGGAAAATTGAAGTACAGCGATACACCGATTCTCCCATCCCATGCACCGATACACGGATACACCGACACAGCGGAATCCCGTGAGCGATCGGCATGGGATATCAGTAGTCCACCGATACAGGGATGCGTATCGGCGTATCAGCCGGGGTGGAGGGGGGGGGGAGTTGGTGGCAGGCGATTGGCCAGTGTAGCGGCGTACCGGCATATCAGCGGGGGAGGGGAGGCAAGGTTGCGAGCGATCGGCTTAACAGCATATCGGTGTATGTCGGTTTTTGCCCCTCGCTGCATGCTCGCTGGCACGTTCTTGCTACTGGAGGCCTGGAGTTGTTGCTGGGTTACTTCCACTTCCTGACGGTTTCGGTTTACAACTGTTCATGGTTGTAGACGTGACCTAGCGATATGTACCCCAGGTGAGTGTATAGCTGAGCTGAGGAGACGTGTACCTGATATGAAGTTTCCCAAAATAGGGGGACCCCGAACTAGATCCCAATATGTTATTGTCCTTCGTATGTGGACCCCCCATAAAGGTACCCCTAATTATATATATATATATATGTACAGCATATGTATATATATATGTATACATGACTGTGATTGCGCTGTAGTTGAGTTAGATTTCACAGCCAGAAGCCATTCTTCACGACTAAGAATCTTCCAAGCTTTCATCCTACAAAGAGCTATATACACGCAGGGTTTACTTGGAGGTTCGTGGGGACTTAGTAAGTAGGTCAATACCCCCTATAAGCCATAGAATAAGCACAGTTATCACCATCATCAACCTACCGACCTACTCCCCATGACCCTCCAAGTAGGGTTGCCTACACCCTAACCCTAAACCCTAAACCCTAAACCCTAAACCCTCAACTGCGGGGAGGGGATTGTTCCACCAGCAATAGCTTTGAGGTGGGCCTTCTGCTTTACTTCTGGCCGAGGCAGGTGTCCAAGAATTGCAGCATGCTATATAGGGGTTATACTGGGGTAATATGAGGGTTATATTGGCGTTATACAGGGATTATTGTGCGTTTTACATTCTTACCGGATGTTCTTCGGGACCTTTTTAACTTTTTTTTTCGATGGTTCAGGCTTTCCATAGGAACATATTCGGAATTCCAATATGCCAAGCCTCACATTGCCTTCTTTCATGCGAACATTCAGGAAACGCGCTGCCGCTGTCAAACAAGTACGTGTACAAGTGTAGTTCGTTGGGCCCAGCTTAGCCTGCCCTCAGTTTCCCAGCAAGCCCGAGAAAAATGGTTAGCGCCTGGTGACCTGGCCGCGAGGGTATGTAAGTAGGGAATGAATGAAGGAATGGACATGAAAAAGGCAACTATCATAAGGGATTTCGTTTTTTTAAGAATGAGGGTTTGGGGTCATCCGGGATCATAAAGTGGTTACAGATTCTGTGAGGATGCAGTCCGCCAGTTCATAGGAACAACCAGCCAGCAAACTTTCAAGCAGCCTTATACACAGTGCAGCTAAGAAAATCGACAAGCTTCTTATGTAGCCATCTACACTCAAATTCTTCCACACCTTCGTAACTGTGCTTAAGGAGTCATAGAATCATTAGATAGAATAACGTGAGGTTGCAGCAATACTGTGTCCGAGCTCTGGGCATCCGACTTTTGGCAACCCCAGATCCGGAACAAAAAGCCCAAGTTAGCGTGTGGTTGATACATAAAGATATATATATATATACAGGTATAGATATACATAAAATATACTCAGCGAGGGTGGGTCTGCATTATTAGGGCGCCCCCCTAAAATCCTCTGGGCTTGTAACAGAGAAAGGCAGTCGCCATGCAGTCCCTCTGTTGTTGTTGGGTTTCCCTTGGCAGTTTTTCAAAACAATGCATCCCAGTCGCGGTCTTCTACACCAGATTTTCTGAATGTTTAGCTAAGCCCTTGGGGCCCTTGGGGCCAACCTCTGCGAATAACGGCCTTTTCGGGGCCTGCACTCTTTAAATGCCATCTGCCGTGCTCTATTTGAATGCCGAGGGCGCTCGGGAAACACAAGCCCTAAATCCTAAGGTGTTTAGAACCAAAATCTCCCACGTTGCTCAGGCCGCCAAAGGTCTTCTTAACTCGGGAGAGGAAGCGCATCCAGGCTCGGGTTTAGAGTTTAGGGCTTAGAAGTTCCTTTGGATTGGATAATCAGTCCCCTCACTCAATCATGAAGCTCTTGTGATCCTAGCAATATTCCGAACATTATATATTGTAATGACGGGAGATTTTTAAATCGCTGGAAAGAATTCCGAATAAATGCCGCGCCTGGCACTTTGCGGCACAGAGACGCAATGGCTTAAGGCAGGGGAAGGAGGTTTGGGAGGACAGGCTCCGCAACCTCCATGCCCCCATCCCCCAATTCATCACAGTCATACTTAATTACCATCCGATATACCTTCTGCTCCAGGAATTCCAGTGCGCTAAGGGTCCTAGGGTTGTGCAAAATTTGCGCCATTCACCAAGGAATTTGGGCTGAGCATCATCATAAGTGCAGCTAGCGGCCATCATATTCAAGGCTATGAAGCTGCCATGCAAAAAAGACGAGATGGGAATGAGGGTTTGAAGCTTAAGGTTTACGGTTTCAGGTTTAGGGTTTAGTCCAAAAATCAGGGGCTCGGTTTAGGCTTCAGGTCTGAAACTACTTGAAGGTTCATGGGACTTAGTTAGTTGTTATAACGGAGGTACAAGTCCGCGAACTGGGTTTGGCCTGCTTATAAACCCCCCATTTAGAGCCCGAGACTTACGAAGTTGCCTAGCCATTCAAGTGTAAATTGCTTTTTACTTTGGGGACCCCTCAGTATGGGACTACCCAGCCCTAAGGGTCCAAGGACCCAAACAATAGGGCTTTAGGGCCAAAAAATACCATTGATATTGTAGACAATCTATCATGTAGAGCAGATGTCCATCAAAGCACCGCCTGCCCGCATCAAGATCTCGGACGTCGTGGAGCTCTCGCACGACACAAAGCGCATTCGACTATCATTCGGGAGCAAGAGCATGATTTTAGGCCTGGGCCACAGATTGATCTTCCCAGCCTGGCATTTCCAAATCAGTCGTGTCGTCATCCTTCTGCATAATATAGGGGAGTATATAGAGGACTCAGGGGTTGTACAGGGGGATACTAGGAGTTGAGACGATGGTTCATATAACAATGGTGCACTGACACATCCGCAGCACTACCATAGGTACTATCATGCAACATTGACAGGATGACTGGCACCAGCGTTGGTCCCAATCTTGTTTCCCCCCCATATTGCATACTCCCCATATCTTATAGGATACCGCAAGGGGGATGTTGGTTTGACATTGTGGCTGGTTTTAATATTCTGGGGGAGGGGATTTGTCATGTACAGCTGATCAAAGCATGCATTCCCTTAAGGTGGACTGTAGGTCATCGGGGGTACTATGGGGACTACCGTGTTATACACAGGTAGTACAAGGGCTGGCTATACAAGGGTTATAGGTAATTTGATTGAGGGTCTCTTCCAGGGGACCCTAAAGCTTAAACCATACACCCGTAGCCCTAAAACCTAAACCCTAAACCTTGAACCCTGAACCCTATAAGCTTTACACCCTAAACCATAAACCTTGGACCCTAAACCCTCGCAGCCTAAACCCTAAACCTTGGACCCTAAACCCTTGCACCCTTAACCCTAAACCTTGGACCCTCAACCCTCGCACCCTAAGCCCTAAACCTTGATCCCTCAACCCTCGCACCCTAAGCCCTAAACCTTGATCCCTCAACCCTCGCACCCTAAGCCCTAGACCATCCTAAGGTCTGCCTGTTGGCAAGCACATCGTCATCTACGGCCCCAACCCGCCAAGTGCCATCTCCTCTAAGAATTGGAACGGCAAGCCCAGCCCTCGAAGTTTAGGATTTAGGGGCTTAGGGTTTACGGGATTAAAAGGTTTAGGGTTTTAGGGTTTTCGGGTTTTAGGGTTTTAGGGCTTCAGGGTTTAGGGCCGAGGGGTTCTGAGTTCAGGGGTTAATGGTCTAGGCTTTGGGTTTAGGGGTACAGGGTTTTGCTAGGATTCTTCGTGAAGAAGTATCACGAGTTCAATCGGCAGCACCGTGCTCATTTTGAACCAGATTTCTTGTTGATAATGTCGAAGTTCTCTTTCGGTCTTCCTTTGCTGGCTTGGATTTGGCCGGGGTGTGGTTTCTGTGTCACATTGCACAATATAGGTAACAGCAATAGCATAGTATGGGATAGTGGAGTATAACCCCATAACTCCCAAAATACACTGTACGAACAGCCGTGCAGGATTCTTAGCATCCACTGTATTATTATGATTGTTAAGCTCGTTATAGACCCTCCCTCTTATACACCGCCCCTCCCCACCCCCTCATAGCAAACCCCTCGCCGCCCCTAGTGTTATGGATGTTCTCGACAAAATGTGGTATACCACGTAGGAATGCTCAATATGTCGGAGGTGATATTATGAAAGGGTATGACGCAATCGCCCTTCTGTATCAAGGCCTGATGCCGACAAGGGCAAGCCAGAGATAGACAGGAAGTGACCAGCGCATTCAAGGGTTGCAAGGTTGTACCCCCACGGGTTTGGGGTTTAGGGCTTATGGGCTTAGGTTTTGTGACTTATGGGCTTCGAGGTTGTACCACAGGAGTTGAGGGCTGGGGCTGATGTATTCAAGGTTGTCCCCCAAGGGTTGAGGATTTCGGGCTTACGGATTTCAAGGTTGTAATCCTGGAGGTTCGACTCTGGGTCGCATGATCCTTTCCCTGAACTTCAAACCCCTTGAAGCATTGACCAGATTAGGGTCTAAGATTGGGGTTTGCTGCTTACGGAAGTCCCTAGAGATGAATGAGGTTTCTGAGGGCCATGAAACCGGGAAGATTGTTTGAATATTTCCATGATTTTGGGTACATGTGGATGGTCTCTAAGGTTTGGAAATATCCAGATCGAAAATTGGAGTGGAGAAGGCGCAATGTATTCCACATAAAGATGGAAACTCAGCACGAAAGCCAAAAGCAGATATGGGAATACTTGGTCGTAGTACCCTCGCATCCCGACTTTAGCCCGAACATACTGCAGCATAATATGCCCCAATACCGTGTTCCAAGCATGTAAGCCTCCAGTAGGCAGATGTTTTCCTGCTCTTTGCATAATCCTGTTTCCCGCAACAACCATCACTCTGTCGTCTCCCGAACCAAGCACCAAACCCGAATCTCAGAGCACTTTTCTCTTCTAAGTGAGTGGGAACTTCAGGTACACGCCGGTGACTGGAAATGAAGCTCCAGGTTATGTTGATCTGGTAGTCTCAGGCTCAGAGAAAATAGGGTCGTGCACTTTCCTTTACATGCATGCCAGCATGTGGGGCATGTGGGGGTTTCCGAAAACAGGAGCCCCTCAATATATCCCAAAATGCTACAATCCTTCGTATGGGAACTCCCAAAAGAAGAAATTTCTGCTTTCCTGAAGCCCCCATGCGCAAGAGGTTCAGGGTTGTCAGGGCTCAGGGCTTTGAGTAATTTTGGGGGCAAGTTTGGATTGGAGTTGTAGCGCTACCAACAATTGTCACTTTGTACTAGCACTTCTTTTCCCGTAATAGAGCAAGATCTTCCCGCTTGGGGCCTGAGAATGATCGATTTCAGCAATGGTGTTGCGATGTAGTCTAGTTTAGGGTTTAGGGGTTTAGGGTGATTACCCTTCTTCATCTTGCACCCTGAAACCCTAGCAAGTACACTCTGCGAACTCGCTAAGATCAAGATCTACCGCCCGGGCAAAGTCAAAATGCCCGATGGCAAGGAGATCAACTGGGATGACGGTGTCTTGATCTGACTTATAGCAACATGAGCTATAGTCTTAACTCCTAGTATCCCCCCTAATAACCCCTGTAATTGTCCACCTATAATACTCCCCTCTATAACCCCCTTCTAGGAGTTTAGACTAAAGCTCATACGTGTTCGTCCAAAAACAAGGAGTCCCAAGGAATTTTAGGGGTATATAAGGACAACAGAAGGATTCGGATTTTGCTTTGAGAAGCTCCCATATGCTGTAGGGGTTTAGGGTTTAGGGTCTAGGATGTTCCAACAAGTCTCATTCTTTTCCCTTGTGCTGCAACATATACAAGAAGAGTCAGCATCCATGCAACATCTATCAACCAAATCAGTGAGGGGGTTTTGCTCGAGCTACACTGGCCCGACGTGTGCCGGAGTGATTTGGCCTTCTTACATTACATTATGTAATGTGGTATCAGCACGAGGGAAGAAAGCTATACCCCAATAGAAGGTACCTGTAATTCTGGGAAACCACCCATTTCTTGGGGCTGACAGTAACCCACTGGCGCAGTACACAGAAAAACCTCAAAGCCGAACTCGAAGCCCTGAAATGCAGGGCTAGCCTTACACCCTATACATCCCAGACCAGGGTTTAGGTTTTAGGGTTGAGGGTTTGAGGGGTTTAGCCTTAACCTTATAAACCCCAGACCCCAAACTCTCAATCCCAAATTCTCAATCCTTAACCCTGAAGTCTACGACCTCTGAACCTAAGCCCTAATTCAGTAGCTTTCATGTTCTTTCCTCGTATATACCCCCTATATACCCCTAAACTGTAGGCTTGCCCCTGCCAGGTGGCAAGATGGGCCTCTACCTAGACAGTACCTCCGTGCTCGTGTTGTAGCCTTGGCTTACGAGCGGCGCTGGGATTGTGGGGGTTTCAGGTATCATGTGAGCAGCGGGTTTTTTTACGGTAGATCAATTATAAGTGCGCAGCACAGAAACTCACCAAATCCTGCTCCGAAATCTAGGTTTTTCCTGTGCGCGCGGAAGGACGCGGAAGCATTTCTTCGCGGAAGGGCTTGCGGAA